TTTGCAGATTGGTATACTATGACTTGTGGAAGGTTTAAAAGCCCAGACCCCCAAAATGCCAAGGTATTTCTTGTCCCATCCCGTATTATGTGTACCTGTGAGGCCAGCTCGCCATGGGAGTATCACCTGCACGCATCCCACACGGGATCTCTCAAAGAGAAAAGTAGATTGCTCAAACGCAGATGTGCGTGGATTAAAAATTTCACTGTGTTATTAATGGGGTTCCAAAGCGATGTCAGTGGGTACTGGCACAGCTATGACGGCCACAGTACACTCCAATCATTGCCAACATAGGTGGCGTCACGCTTGAATTAATTTAGAAACACTCACTTTCCTTCCACTGATCGGCAATGCGATGACCGCATGTGAGGATCAGGCTACGTCAAAATATCATGGATCTCGATCAGAGAATGCCACCGTACCCAGCTTATTTTTCACAGTTAGCAACCCTTACCACCTCCTTCGATCCTCATCCTTCGGAAAGCGAAAATTCCAAAAACCGACGTTTACTCGAAAATGATTTCCACCTCATTTTAATAGCAGACGCCGATTTTCTATGAGAATGGAGGAGCTGTGCAGAAGGTGAGCTTAGTTCAGTCATTTATGGTGATTACCTTGTAGATTGGAGGTGTCTCTGTGTGAATGAAAATTTGTTCCAAAAATCTGGTCAAAGTGTTGCAAGACTTTCTTTCCAGTCTAGAGGTTTGCCTACTGCAAATCCTGACTTTTCATTGGACTAAAACACGTTAGAGATAACATAGAGCAAGTGCGCACACTAGCTTGATTTTACTGAAACAAGATGATTCATTCACTTCAAACACCAGAAAAGGAATTCATGATAAGTTAATACACTGTTTGAAGTTATGGACCTATCGTGAATTCCTGTTGCTTTTGTTGACGATACACTGTAGCGTGGCGTTCGGCCGGGGATTTTATTTCATCTGCCCATTTTTTGTTTTTTTTGTAATGCTTCCAGTGCACCACTTTTAGTTGTGCCAGTAAAGAATCGAAGCACGAGATGCAGACCAGCCTGAGGACAGCACATTCGTTATCCCCGAGAATTGTCGGGCGCAGGACTGCGGCCTGATTTGTAACTCAGCCAGAGCAGATCTCACCAATATTAGTCGGGCTCCCAGCTATTAGCCACATTGTTGGAAACGAGAGCTACCATGGTCACGCTCACGGAACGGCCCGGCGTCTAACAACCAGCTGTTTGCATAGATCACACTTTACATACCCGGCTCTTATTCGGATAGGCAGCGACGTTTACAGTGATATTAACCAAATGAAACGGCTCTCTGATGTGTTTCCTTGTCGTTTATGGACAACCCTTGCAGCTGCCCCTTACAGCTATAGTTGGGCTGTTTGAAGTGTATTGACTTCATGAATTCCCTTGCGACCGGACATGGCGAACACACCGCCGCGTTCCACAGCGGTGCTCGTTTGCACGTGGCAGCAGACCTTGCAGCCACTCTGCCCATTTCTGTCGTTTACACATAGGTTCACCTCCCCAAGAGACCCCACGTCGCCTTCTGCAGCGAAGGCCTGACAACTGCCTTCAGAAAAAAAGCAAAAATCAGAGGTTTGGGCACGGTCTCGTTAGGTACTAGCAGAAATTGCATTTATACAAACTTCCAATTCAAGCGATATCGCGACCAGCGTGACAAATATAAAACTCGCACACTACGAATGATCTTTTCATTCCTATAAACCCGTAACTTTGTATGTCGGTTTGTTACTGTTGATGTATTGATAAGGTTTGTGGTATGTAAACTTGTATGTACTCTACCAGGGGGGCCAAAAAAAAAACAGTCATTCCTGGCCGAGTCACATCATGAGCGAAGTTTTTCGCAGCCCAGACATGAGAATGGATATGCACGTACCAGGGCGGAAGTATACCCAGATCTTCTCTATAAGGCAGGAGCGGCTGCCGCATCACCTTCAAGTACACCAAAATATTGGAAAGTCCATCTCCAGTCGCGGCCTGCGAGTGGAGAACCCTTTGAATTCACAGTGGCTCCAAACAGCTGCGGAACGTTCCCTGATGGAATCACCCATGGGATAGCTACCTGGAGACAAGTACTCTTGATCTGCAAGACACCCAACATCGAGCAGCTCCGGCAACGTTCGTACGGTCCAGGACATCCATCTTCACCCCATTCACCAAGGCGCGGGTGATGGTTTGTGGACCGGCCGGACTTGGATTTGGGAAGACCGCATATTTTCTGTTGTAGGACCCGGATGAAGGTGAGCGCTTGGCGGTTACATCAAGTAACTCGAGAAGGAATATTCCACCCCACATTGTTGTCGCTCGCTACCTTCTTGGAAAACTTTGCTACTGCCTACAACATTGCGGTGCCAGCCACGTGGAATCGAAGGCTTGCGAAAAACTTTCGCCTACTTGGAATGGAAGATCGTTGAGAGTACCTGGAAAAGGCTGGAGTATTTAAGCGGGGGTCCTGAACTGAACCCCCTCAATTACTGGTCCCGACGGCGGAGTTTCAATTAGGGTGGTCTACGGTTGGCGGAGAAATCGACTATCTCGCTGAAATCTCCAGGGACCACAGTCGTCGGTTTGCGATGCGCAGAATCTCTCGATGGCCGTTACTCAGAAGGCTGTGGCGGAGTAATCATTATAGGTATTTAAGTTGTGCTCTTCAATTATGTAGCAAAGTGTCCGATAAAAATTTGATAGGTGTAACTTAATAGCGCCTTGAAAGTCATGGATGGCAAAAATGACTTTTTTTTTTTTGGGCCACCCCTGCTATGTTTGTTTGTTTGGCTCTGTCCGCCCGCAAATATACTTCACGCTTTCGAGTCGCTGGACGCGTTGAAAAAGACCGCTAGGCTCAAACGGTAACCGACTGGGAGGATTGTAGCGTTCCAATGATTTGATTTCGATAATTAGCCTCGCTATATAGACAACCATTCGGTACACTCGAGCCATTGCACGAGCTGCTTTTCCGTGGCCAGCTGGACGTCGTGCTTCGTGCGGGCAGGGTGGGGGTGCCCAGTCACCCCTGCCTTCCTCTCCTGCACGTGCTCGGCCGCGAGCTGGGGCACATGTATCGGGTGGGAGGCAGATCGAAGGGGTAGCGGGGAGGCGGGGCACAGTAAGGGGGTGCGAACGGTGCGCGGTTCCAGTAGACGCGCACCAAGGGATAAGGAAACAACAGACAACAAACCGCAAGCCATTTCTATGTTACCCGTACACGAATCAAGAATTGTCTTGGTTGTGATAACACTCGCCACGATATAATGAAAACCACTACACTCCAAGCCATTGCACGGGTTGCTCGCGTAGGCGGCTGGACGTAAAGCGCATGCAAGGGGCAGGTGGGGGGCGGGTGGAGTGGCGGTACGGAATGGGGTGAGAGTCGAGGAAGGTGGCAGTTAGACTGTCGAGTGATCCCCTTCTTCCATCCTCACTCCCTTGCGCGTACTCAGGTCCGTTCTGAGCCGCATGCAGGGATAAGAGGCATATGGATTGGAATCGGCGCAAACTGCGGTAGCAGTAAGGGGATGCGGTTAGCGTAGCGCTTGTAATAGGAGCAGCCGCAAGAGAAGAGGTAAAGAACTCGCTTAGCAAAACTGCAACTAATCTATGTTACAGCAACGAACTAGGACGCTGTTTGGATTGTGGAACTAGCTCCTCTATCTAAGCCAACCACTGTGACAGAACTCCTGTGCTATTGCAGGAGCCGCTCCTCTGGCGAGCTGGACGTGGAGACCACGAGCAAGGCGTTGGTAAGAACAGTGAGCGGCGTAGTGTTCCATATGTGCTATCGGCCTGCCATACCATCGTAGCGGGAGTGGTGTGCCCGTTGGTAATAGGGCTCAAGTGGGATATTGATGTGGTGGTACACCAGATGAGAACGGCGATTTCTCGCGATTAGGAGCACATAGCCCGGCGGCTGCGTAAGGCGTCTACAGTTGCGACAAGATGGGAAGAAAATGGCATCGACCGCAATTGGATCTGAACCGATTAATGTTGCATTACCAAATTTGGTAGCGTTTTGATAGTCATTAACACCCTCCACAACATAACACAACCATTTAGTGCACTCAGAACCATTGCACGGGCTATTCGCGTAGCAGCTGAGTGTGACCTGTAGGGTGGCTGAGCGGGAATAGCTGAGGTTAGTTTGGGATAGGTGAGGTGAAGGGTACCGTATTGGCCGCGAATCGACGCTCCCTGAACAGGAGCGCACGCAGCGACTGCGGAGACCCGAAGAATCCGTGCTGTCATAAGATGGGGAACAGTAATCGATTACATCCAAGACCAGTATTTTAAACTTTTCATTATGAAAGTGCCTGCAACTATATGGCGCGTTCCCACATTTTATTGATTAGAAGACACCGGTTAGTCACCGTGAGAGCACTGTAAATGCATAAGACAGTTAGTATCGCCCCTGCTTATGCCTTACTTTGCTCCTTTCTTTCACGCAGTTAAGAAGTCAGGCCTCTAAAGCAGTTGCATTGAGCCCGGCGACGCGAGCTTTCAAGAAGGGGAGAGCTCGGCTAGCCGGGCGATCGGCCTGGTAAAATAATAAAGCAGGCACAATTTCAGACAGCGTATTTGGAGATCTTCGAGAATGACGTCACACATCTGAATAACTATGCAGTGTAGCCGAATATATCGATGGAGGTTATCTTGAGGGATAAACGGTGAGCATTCTGCTCGAATTTCAATGTCTTGGCACTGTGGTCCTATTACTTTACCACCATTGTCTTCAAAAATTAAACCGACTTCTCATTGGAATTCGTCTCCGTGACAGCTATGAATTTGTGTTCGGTGGTATTTTGATCCTCTCAACAGGAGCATATCGGCTTGACGTAAAAAGCTTCAGGTCCGAGAGTCAGGTCATTCCTTATAACAAGTTTGACGAGGGCCAGTGTGGCTCGGGCGTCATGGGCGTTTTCGTGAAAAGCGATTGTGGTGTTTGTGTTCACGAATCAGGCTACCGCTGAGAAAACATCTGGTCCCATTTGTTCATGGGATGAAGTTCCGATTTGAATGAAGCTCACTTACTAATAATAAGGTGACGAATGGCTGAAAATTCCGAATTTTTAGAAGTGCAAACCGGCTACAATTGACCGAGTCGATCGTTTGTGAACGGGTAATCAATCGGTCCATCGCCGTCGTCATCTATGCTCCTCTAATACAACGGGAAACTGAACCCGAGTATCTTCTACGAGTATCATCTACCGCCTACGCTCTCGGGTTTTACAGTATACCAACAATAGGCGTTATGGTCAGGGAGGCAGAGTTTAGCAAAAAGGTAAGGGATTTCAATAAGCTCTGCAGAGAAGCATTGAGCAATACAGCTATTCAACAATTTTCAGAAGATCTACCCAACGTTCGTTCGACCAACACCACCGTATGCTGACGAATCTTACGTGTTTCTGAAATTGCTTCAAAGGCTCGGATATCGACAGGTAATGTAATTACTGTTTGGTGACTGGTGACTAACAGGTGGATGTGAGGTTAAAAGACACATAGCACGCTCACACACATTGATGGTGTATGAGACTATCAGCCCCTCCAGCTGTCGATGTGTCGTGGTTTCCAAACATGTCCAGGAATGGAGATATAGGACCGTGAAACACGCTAAATCCTCCATGCTCCGCCTTACACCTTTTTGCGGAGCAGATTCCCGTCCTTCATAACATCCGTCGTAAGCGCACGTGTCGCGTGCGGCTTCTTGGCACTTTGCCAAGTCCTTTAATTGCGCTTTCAAATATAAGTATTTCCAATGCAGATAGCATTGGAGGTGCTGCAAAATAAGAATAGAAGATGATGACGAGGGTCAGAACCTGAAAGCAACTGTGCCACTTCTGCAACATCCCTTGGAAGCCGCGTATTTCCACGAAACATCAAAATAAAAACGGCATACTCGTTAGTTTGATACAAGAAAAACGCAATTTCCTGATGCGAATAAAATTTTAGGTGTTGCTCATGCTTCAAAATCCATGTACAAGGAGATGAAGATGAGAGAAATGAAGCACAGCGAAGTAAATGTAAATAAAACAAAAATGAAAAAATCAAGAAAAGGCAAATTAAAATCGCCTGTAAATTTCTACGATCACGCGCGAATCCGGCGCCAAAGCCATAGGAATACCTAGTACAAAGGAATGGGACGCTTGATGTTTTTATTCTCATGTTTTGTGAGGATGCGCGGCTTCTGATGGATACTGCAGATGCAGACGAGTTGCTCTTGAGTTCTGGCCCTCGTCATCATCTTCTATTCTTATTTTGTAGCACCTCCAACGTTATCCGCATCAGGAAATTGCGTTTTACTTGTATTTAAGAGCGCAATCAAAGGACTTGGCAAAGTGCCAAGGAGCCGCACGCGACACGCGCGCTTACGACGGATGTTATGAAGGACGGGAATCTGCGCCGCAAAAGGTGTAAGGCGGAGCATGGATGAACTAGCGTGTTTCACGGTCCTGTATCTCCATTCCTGGGCATGTTTGAGCGGGGGGACCACGACACATCGATAGCTGGGGCTGATAGCCTCGTACATCCTCAATGTGTTTGAGCGTACCATGCGTTTGTAAGAGAAAATCGAACTTATTGGAATAAAGTTCTTAGAAACACTCTTGACTTGGTTCAGCCATGAGTAAGTGGAGTTGAACTGGCTTACGCTGGTTTCTATGTCTCTCAGAATTCTGTAATTTTTCATTACCAACTAACTTGAATTAAATGCCTTTTCTGAATTTCATGCCGCTCATCGGCTTAAACACAGTGTGCCCATCGAACAATATGCAGAATGAGGCATTTTTGTGCGTTTTTTCACTTTTGTGTTGCCTACTATTTGTCATTAAAAACATTGCGCTACTCCTCACCATTTTTGAACGCGGAATGTGCTCTCGCAATTTTAGGTAAGTTAACTCCGCGGCGTCGCAATCACATCAGATGCTCAGGAGCAAAAGCTTGATCTTTTATTTTTTACCAGTCGGCTCGCCGGCTAACACCGACGCGCCTCCTTCTGATACGGCCCGGCTGCGCAGAGGGGGCGCGGCTTTGCCGCGCGTATTTCCTTTCACTACTTCTAGACTCAACTGATATCCTCCTTGTGTTCTGTACTCCACTTTTTTCGGTGTCCGGAGCACTCTTGAGCTACTTTACCGATTTTTCTCTGCTCCGCCCACCTCAGAGCAGACCCCGTCCCCAATTGTGCCCCACAATCCTCACTGGGACCCTCTGCTGATCTTGAGCCACTTTCTTCTAGTGTCTGGAGTGTTCTGGAACCGTTTTACAGTCCTTTTTGTCTGGCTCCGCCCACCTTTTAGCAGGCTCCGCCCAGAATGTTTTTGCCCCACATTTCTCAATCGGCGACCCCTTGCTGATCTGAATTCACTTTATTCCGGTCTTTAAGTGCTTGGGACAATTGTAGGGAATTTTCGTCTGGCTCCGCCCACCTTGAGCTGGCCTCGCCCACAATATCTATACCCCACATTTCTCAATCGGGACCCCTTGCTGACCTGAATTCACTTTATTCCGGTCTTCGGAGGCTCTGGAACCATTTTACAGGCCTTTTTGTCTGGCTCCGCCCACCTCGGAGCAGGCTCCACCCACAATGTTTTTGCCCCACATCCTCACCGGCAACCCTCTGCTGACTTTAGTTCACTTTTTTTCCGGTGTCTGGTGTGTTCTGGAACCGAGCTACAATTTGTAAATGAATACCCTGCGATTAAGGGCAAGTTCCGCAATTGTGCGCGGGTCCCAACACACTTTGAGCGTGCCCTATATTCGCCAGATGTTTACATTCAACACTGAGTTTTTTGCGACTTCCAAACACTCACGAACTGGGTTACTAATTTTGCGAGAAGCACCTTACACCCGCCCATTTTGGATGTGTTTGCCGCAGTCAGTCTCGCGACTCCTTACTAACCTTATTCCCTTTTTTTCCCATCTTCAAGCTACTCCGGAAGCGAATTATGTCATTTTTCTGCAAAACCCCAAACTTCCGGCGAGTGCCCCCGCCACTGTGGGCGGGGCTTCACATAGGTCAGGTTTGCTTTTTATTTCTTGTCCCATGCCCTATATATCCCCACCTTGATCCGCCTCTCCAAGTCGATCTTCAGGTCGAACCGAATTTCCGGACAGACAAACTTACAAACATACAAACTTACAAACAGACGAAGCGCTTTATATACAGGGGAGCCAAAAAGTCACTTTTCTTCCTTGACATTCCAGGCGTTATGAGTTACACTTTATCAAATCCTGATCGGACAATTCTACCACCGTTGAGAGATTCTGCCACGCAACCGTGGTTGGTACGTGGCTTCAGCGAGATAGTTGATTTCTCGGCCACTGTAGACCCCCTTGCTGAGCTCTCCCGAACCCTGTAACTGAGAAAGTTTAGGTCAGGAGACATACTTAAATATTTCATCTTCTTCAGGTACTATACGCTTTTCCCTTCTAGGTAGGCGAGAGTTTTTCCAACACCCTTCGATTCCATGTGGTGACGCCCAAACCTGTAGCAGTACAATATTTCCAAGAAGGTGCGGGCGACGACATGTAGGGAGGATATTCTTCTCGAGTTGCTCGATGTACCTGCTAGCGCTCACCTTCAGTCCGGGGTCCACGAAGAAAATTTGGTCTTCACCCAGATACGTCCGGACCATACCATCAACCCGCGCCTTGACGACTGTGGTGAAGATGATGTCCTAGACCGTAGCGACGTTGTTGGAGCGGCTCGATTTTGGAGGTCTTCCAGATCGGGAGTACTGATCTCCAGGTAGCTATCCATGGGTGACTCCATGCTAGAAGTTTCGCAGCTGTTTGGAGGTGAAATGAATTCCGAAGTTCTCCAGTCAGGTTGCGATTGAAGATGACTTCATATTTATTTTGGTGTACATGAAGATGATGGGCGAGAGGCAGCTCCTGCTTATCGAGGAACATATTGAGTATCTTCCGCCCTGGTACTCGTATCCACGTCCTCTGTCTGGGATGCTAAAACTTTGCTGAAATGTGACATGGTCGAAGAGACTTTTTTTGACCCCCTTCCCTGTATATAGGGTGACATTACAACTATGAGTTAAAGGGTGCGGTACTGTGGTACTGTGGTAAGGTCAGGTGCTCTGAGAGTTGCATGATGAATGAAATGCATGAGATGAACGAAAAAGAACGAAGAACGAGTTTTCCCATATCTTGTGAAATGGTAATTCTGCGGGTGAGAATCATAAAAAAATAAAGGCAGACTCATGTGAAAACTACGTGATGGAACCCGCATGGCTCAGCGACTTCGAAGAAATAAATCGTTACGTCTGGTGTGATAGCCTTCTGGTTCCATTTGGTTTGTGTAAAAAGTATGCCACCCACCAATTTAATGTGCACATAGTAGAAGAATTCTTACGCCATCACATGCCGATTGGTGCTCAACGCAGGGCACGCCATCATGATCATTTCCTGAAAAATACACCCCCCCCCTCCTAATTCCATCCTCAAATACAACTCCTCCCTCCACACCACCACCTACCACTTTTCTAGATTTTCTCAAATTCCTACCACTTTTCCCATTTAATTCCCGAAAAATTTCCTGTTTGTGCAGTCAGAGGATTTTGAGGGGGGGGGGTGGTCAGAAGCATAGCGTCCGACAAAACAAGCAACCAACTATTGAAAAATTTTTGTTTCTCAGACCAAGTACGACCCCCTCCCTCGTGAACGAATACAACCCCTCCTCCTTTGTGATCATCACAACGATGACGTGCCCTGGCTAAACCTGGCCGTCATCTTTAGAGAAGCATCAGGGCGCGGTTGTGACGGTAGCGCGTTGACGCGCGTTATCGCGAAGTCTGAACGCTGCTTTTGCGTGATACGTCGGAGTTCGAGGAAAACAATGTTTTTGCGATGAATGAGAAAACTGAAGCGGAGTGGAAGTCAAAACGAGGTGTGAAGCCGGGATGAAAACCAACGGAAACACTTTGATTTTAGTGCACGCATAGATTTCTATCATTCACATAGTTCTCTCATTCTCTCAGCGTTCGCTTTCTTACTCGAATCATTCCAGGTAGTTGTCGTTAGTGTCAAAGGAGATCGTAATGGAGAACAGTTTGTAGAACTGTTCGAGAAAAAGCGCAAGAAGTATAAAGTCCACGTGAGTCATACTCCTACCTTGTACTTTTGATTACTGCTCCAACACATCGTACGGTCATTTATGCATATTATTCAAATGCAATTTTAATTATTGAATCTATTTTTCCTCCCAATCCATTAGAGAAGCAGCTAGTTGGGTACAGTAAGCTCGGTGGCACTCAGCAGTGGTTGTACATACCACCTCGTCAAGAGTTCTTGTGATCAAAGTGACTCGCGTGTGCCATTTCACAGCGTCACATGACTTTACAGGTTTCACCAAAGTGCTACCCCCTTCATATTACATATGCTAGCAAAAGGAATTAGTAAAAGCGTGAATACATGCTTCCTTCGAGCCGACCGGCGTTCGGAGTTCTTGAAACCTACCGGTGGTAGTGGCGCTACTTTTTTCTTGCCCATAAGTATCTGCTATCAAATGAGTGTATGCATGTGATTTGGTCACCGTTCAATGAGAATGCTTCTTAAGGTACAAAGCTACATTAAGTTGGAAATTGACGAGTCGTTAAATTCCTCTTTGGTGGCACGATTTGAAGAAGTCACGTCAAACATTGTGATCCTCTATGCTACGTAAGTACACCCTTTCCAGTAACACTATAGTTTTTGGCCTATGAGGTGCACCACTACGTGGAGCGCGTCTTCTCTTTAGAGCGCATTTTTTCGGTGAATTCTTGACTATGTGACTGATTTATTTTGAACAAGAAGTGCTGTAAAGGCAGTTAGTAGATTGAAGTATTCAAAGAATACCAAAAAGCTGTTGCTGGGCAAGCTTTTTGCCGCGCGATGTCGTGCCCATACACTCGCATACTAATGCGTCTTAGCCTTATACCCAACTAGGGAAGTTTCTCCAACTACTGGCAGCTCCATGTCCGTTACTTCCATACAATGACATGAGAGCCATGCACCACCGTTGTAGAAGTCACGGACGGGGTTCGTATTTGACCGCGAAGGAGGGGGATCGTAAGCAGAGGGCTCATTCAGAAGTGGGATTAGCAGCAATACTGAGATATCGTACAATTACTGATTAATAAAAGATTCAGCCATGGTTCTTATTAAAATGTGCAGGGACACCCGGAGACAGAGGCAAATAGCAAGCTCAGAGGTGAGGAACAGGAAGTGGCAGGAAATAGGGTAGGCACCCACGACGACTTCATGAATTGAAGACAGTTCCGCAACCAAGCGATCAGCGGAATGCATTTGACATCTAGATCCGCCCTCACATAGCGTGTGCCACTTTACCCTCTGAAAAATAAAGATAAGGTGGCCGCAGATGCGTGACTCTTGCACCTTTTCTTAGTTTCACTTACAAGACAACGACGTACGCTATGAATTACGTGTAGGCATTCTGTTGTTTGTAGCACCGTAGGTTATTTACGTATGTTTGCCGTAGAGAATCTTTGCTTGTCGACTCTTCCGCAAGCTTACAAATACGCTGCTTGCTCTCGATATTGAGCTAAAGTGCTGAAAGTGTGCAAGAGTCTTGTGTCTGTGGCCACTTTATATCGCCCTCTTAGAGGTGGTATGCCGACTTCCAGGAGGGGGGGGAGGCGATATAAAGCGGTCACAGACAAAGTGGTACGCGCTGTACGAGTGCGGACCTGGATGTCAATTGCACGGAGCCATTTCGCTGATCATTTGATCGTAACGAAATTCTCTAATAAACGCATAAAGTTCGCGCTCGGATCATTCTGAATAGTAGGGGCGCGTCTGTATGCACTAGAAGGCTTCGCCTGGAAATACACCTCTTCCACACTTCTGCATGGGAGTCGAATGCATGGCGTAATACAGAGGGGATCTCAATTAGCGCGTAATGCACTTTTCTTAATATTCGAAGGGTTCTGAAGATGTGCTGGTGAAAGATTTACTCTAGAAGCTCATTGAAGTCTCCAAACAAACTGAAAATGGTACTGCGCCTGAGATGTGAATCTTTAGCGTCGTCCTTGCCACACAGAAAGACACACAACGGGGTTTCAAGTTTTGATGTGTTCCGCCAAAGAGGTTTGTAGGTGGAAGACTTTATTAAACTTGGCCTGACGTTTCGACGGGATCGTCGTCCTCAGAGGCCTAAACATAGCTCAAGGTTTGGGTGTTGTACCCTCCACACCGCCAAACGCTTCGACCCTAGCGTTTTTGGCGGAAACCTAGAAGAACTACCGAAAGAACCCGAATGCGAGAAACGAACTTACCAGTCCATCACCACATGAGCGGAGCGATGCCACTCACTGTTAGTTGCAGTTAGTAAATGAGACATATTGTGCTGTCCCTATATAATGATACGAACGGCACGTCTCATTATTTACATCAACAGCTCGCAATGTGGCATAAATGGCAAGAGGTCATTTGTGATGGACAGACACTCATTTCGGTTGTTCATCCTAGGATTCCTTGCGGAGATCCAGAATGCTTCTAGCGCTTTTCTAGCCGAAATTTCAGTCTCGAATGCCAGAATTCCGCACTTCACATCAAAATCTTTTCCGCCATGCTCCTCGATCAAATGTTGCCGGGTGTACGTGTATTGCCGCGCCTTTTACCAGCGAGGTGTTCTTTGATACGTATCTCCAGCATTCTTCCAGTCTCCCCTATGTAAGTTGCGTCACATGTCTGACACTCAAGTTACTAGATCACACCACTTTAAGCGCAATCTCCACCTAGTTCATGTGGACATATGACGCATTGCTCTGATATGCACTGCCTGTCATAGAGTCTATTTCGCACAAGTTGGCGTTTGATATTATTGTTAGGAATACTCACTAACACAACATCGTCACCTAGTTGCGCTCAAAAAGACATCTTTGAATCGCGGCAGTCACTTTATCAGATGAACGGTATACATGAGGGGATTTTATCTTGGCGCGGGACGCTCCGATGCTCAGTGTGAGTTCGTCCGCGATTTCGATTTCCTGGTACAGCATAGCCGTTCAGGGCAGTATGTTGGAAGCAAGGAGCGTGGACTCTTGCCGCTCTGCCGCACCTATGCACACGTTCGCAGCCGTCCTGAACATGTTCTTAACTACTGCATGTTTCGTGGCAGAAGGATGAGCAGAAGTGGCACGAAGAGAGAAGCTGGACACACAACGGGGTGTTTTCTCCAATAGTGGGCGTGAGAAGAAAGTGAGGGCTTTTCAGGTAGTTCTTTAGGAGATCACTTGCTAAAGAAGCTTCAGCTGTTTGAGGCAGGAATGCGTAGGTGACACTGCAATGTCACAGCGGTATCACAACGGTTATATTGCCCTCCGAAAATGGTCTTTGAAATTGCTCAAGCGCAACAATTAAGCTACAACTCAACTGCTTCCCTCTCTTCAGAAACTCCACTCTCAAGTATGTTGAGATTATCCAAAAAAGGGTTCTTCTGTGTCTCTGGCTAACCGAAGGGTGCTTCTGTGTTGCTGGCCTTTATCGAGAGATAGCTCGCTCTAGTGAAACAGTGAAATTGCGCTCTAACACAATGAGTGCTCGCGCGCAATCTCTGAATGTGCGAATAGGAAAATAGGCTTTAGAGGTGTATACGAATCCCTCTCTCCACCTACCACTTAGGACCCCTCGGCGAGGATTCTTCAACGTACAACGTGCTGCGAACATGGAACAACCCTATAGTATGAATGCTGAGACTTCCTCAGGCAGCTATTCAGAGCAGCAGTAAAGCAGAAACTTGTTTTCAGAAAACCACATGCATTCTCAATTTTTGCCGCCGCTTCTGAATCGCTCGAAAAGAACAAGGTATGGATGGTAAACGAAGCCGCCAGTAAAGCTAATAATGTACCTGATGGTGAGTGAGATGTAATCAAAGTCAGCTTAGATAACTTGTTGCATCTTCTGGTAAAGTTATTGTAAGAGTGACTGTAATCAGAGTCATTTAGGGGCGATTGCTAGCCGTCTTAGTCAGACACCACTTTCTGCGCTTCGGAATTCATTTGCCTCAATACGGAATGGGTTAAGATTTCTGGATTCTCTGAACGGGACGATTAATCCGCCAACTGGATGTGGAAAGGACCCTTCTCTATCTATATGGGTCAACGATCACGGTCCACACCTACTAAGGTATAACCTATATGGGAATCTGTAGCCTTGATCTATGCCTGAAATTATGATGTTTTCGTTGAGCTACTACTTCTCTTTCAGTCACCTTAGAGAGAAAACGCCCTTCCTACGAATACACATTTATTTTTCCGCATATTCACCCTTTGTATCCATACTTCTTATGTTTTCGGTTTGAATCTGTTTGGCTTAGGACCTTTCCTCCCTTGCACAAAATTGTACCCGCTTCTCACTGAAGTGGAATTCCAACATGAGCGGTGCAGGCGTCCACACGCTTGGCTCTTCTCTGACGAACACACTTCACATCGAGAAGGGGGGGGGGGGATGGGAAGACCTCGCACCCCTCCTGGGGCACGTTGCAAGCTAGATTTACCATCTAGTTCAAGTTCCGAAAAGAATCCCCATCTAAGTTTTTGAGCGGAGTGCAGTGAGTGCTTAAAGTCAGTACCCGGGCTCTAGCAAATCGTAGGCGTCCTTAATTGTACAAAGTAGTATGGTCCTCACTCTCCAAAATTGTCCAACTTCACGGCTCCATAGTGAGTAACGAAGGCACTGTAGCCCTTATAAGTGGCCTAGCGCCTCCGTAGTTATCTCGCCCACCAAAACTCAAAGTCTATTTTCCGTCCCAAGTTCAACACCGCGTTCTTCATTTTTTCCCTGTACATTGTAACAGTATTGGATAAGGTGAAGGAACGATTAGGAAGCCAGATGTGCCACGATGCTGCTTTGCTGTCATTAGTGAGCTGGTCCGAAGATCTCGTCTAGAGAGGTTGTCGGGTGTTTCCTGTTTTTTTTTTTTGCTTTTCTTCTTCCCTGAGCTTAGCGACTGTAGGTTTGTAATTCAGCGTCACTTTCCACAGTATACAAACGGGTTTGCCTTCCAAATATCTTTCGAAAAAAGCCTACCATGCTCATGCTGGCAGTTCTGCCCTGGTTTTCGAACTCAAATTCTTTCTTACACTTTCATAACTCTTACGTTACAGCTCGCCTATTAATTCATCTATTAACAAGTATACAAAAAAATCTGCGATTCTAAAAAGTATTCTTTTAGCGCCATCTGTTCAACCGCGACCAGCAAAATCACATTCAACGAGCAATGTGAAAGGATCAGCGTGGACTACGATATAGTCAATTATAATGAGGGCTATAGAGAAGTTGGAGTATTGGTAAGAGTTCACGAATGTAGTTGTGAAGTATGACTTATTGTGCCTCTGCCTTCAAAGGGGGGGGGGGACAGTGTATAGCACAAGTGAAATGGGAAAAACGGGGAAAACAACCAGAAAAATATACGAACCCCCTTCCACCCACCTACTTCCGAGCGACAAGAAAATACGATCACCCCCCATTGCAATTCTTCCAGCGATTTGAATTGCGCACATAAAAAGGGGAAATCAACCATCAAACAAAAATTCTTCTCACCAGGAAGGATCAACAGGTCAGCCTGGCCATTTGCAATGAGATGCACATCGTTGTACCGGTCTTGAGACGGTGAACTCAAAACTATCTTCAAAATCTGCGGAACGATTCTCTGAGCGGAGTTATTGAGGTTTTTCTTTACTCTTTTTCTTCTTACGGGCGCGCTGGCACCGAAGCGTTGGCACCGCTAGCGCGACTCGCAGCGCTTTTCGCGCAAAACAGGTTTCATATTCGTGTTCAGGGGGTCAAATAACCCCTAGGGACGCCACCTTAGCAAAATCTGAGGTTCTGACACAACTTCGAAAAAATGGGGTATGGATAGTCATGGCTGACTGATAGCTAACAGCGATACTATGACTAGCATACTAGTGATGACTGGTCTTCAAACTGAAATAACTCTTCAGTCATGTCTTTTCGCAAACAACAGTACCTGGCTTACTTATTAGTGCCGTCTGCATCATTTTCTTGACTATCGGGAGGAAACCCCATTCAGAGACCAGTCATCGATGGTAGGTGAGCTTCGATCTGCTGCTGATTACCCATGGAACAGCCCACATTTTCCAAGTGAGGTCGAAATATCAGATTCGGCTAGAAACTTGTCCCCAGCTAACCTGCTGAACATGAATATGATGGTATTTCATGCAAAAACCCTTGTGACACGTGTTACGAGGGGTACAAGCAGAACACTCTTTCAGGTCACAATGGGTCTACACTTTCGAAAAAAAAACTGATTGCAGGTTCCTTTATAAGGCAGTGCAGGCGATCAGAGATGTCAGAAGCTTTGTCGGCTATGTTCCTGGACAAATGCAAAGAAACCGTCTGCCAGAACAGATCCTACGACGTCTCGCCTAAGAAACCCACTCTCTACCCGTTGCGCCCTACTACCACGTTTCAGCATGACTCCATACATAAATGTAAAGACGCTTCCACGTTTCCTCGCGATAGCATATGAAACGACCACGCGGGGATAAGACCCTCCATAACTCCGCTCAGAAAATCGTTCCGCAAATTCTAAACGTAGATTTGAGTTCACTGTCCCAAGACGCGTACAACGGTGTGCAGTTCATTGGAAATGGCCAGGCTGACCTGTTGACCATTCCTGGTCAGATTGAATTCTTTCCTCCTTCTACCGGCGACCATTCTCAGAATACGACCCCTTCCCCCCTACGACCATTCTCAGACCAAATACGACCCGCTTGCTGAGAATTTCCCAGCGTAGGACGGGACGTGGTCTGAGCTCTTCCGTATATACGCGAGAATGGCAAGCTGCGGAAGCATTCCCCTCGTTGGCGAACTACGCCCACCATTGCTGTTAATTACAGAGATGGAGAGTTCGAATTCGCCCCGGAATTGAACTATTGAACTAAATATCGGACTTTTAAAATCCAGGAACCACACCAATTCAGAGGTCAGACTTGACTGCACCGTTTCGAATAACTGTTGTATTGCGAGAAACTGACAGAATTAGTTGGATTCTCACCTTTGATTTTCTCCCTCAAACATGAAAAAGTTTCCTCAGGATTTGGCTGTCGTTGACGTATAAAGCATGGAAATTTCAGCATGGCTCTAGCCTTCGTCTCTCGGAACAGACCATTCATTGGGCAGGAGGTGGTGCAAAGCCGCTCGAGATCACCCTCCCGAAACATCTTAGAGCAGTCACAATCCATGATCCGCCGTTCGTTTACACCACTCCAATTATTTCTCTAACCGAATGCAAGAACCTTGGGCCCGTTGCTGTCGTATTGACCAATATGGACGCGGTCAAAGTGGTGAGTCATTGGGTACCTCGATATTTTGCTCTTTCTCTATTGCACCAGCAATTTGTGTCATCAAGGACGGGCCATGGTACCCATGTCCAAAATATGCCTACAATCATACTTCTCATCACTGCTGTGCAGGATATGCAATAGATTTGTTGTCCAATTTGTCACTACCAGAGGTAAGTTGATTTTAGCTGTTGTTTGCCACTGGAAACACCCACTTTTCAGCCCAACACCACTATTGACACGAGTTTCACGTTCTCCCTACACTTAAACGACAGTTATGGAGCTGTAATTCTTGGAGAAAAGGTAGCCATCTTCCAGCGTGGGCGAGAGACAGATAAAAACAACTGGTTAAGGGCTACATCCTTACTGGCGCACTGGGCGAACTGGACAGTGATCAGGCAGACCTGGCTATTGGTGGAATGACAATCAATCCTGAAAGGGAAAGGTTCATCAGTTCTTTCATTTATTGACAAATCGCATATATTGAGATGTTACAGCAAAATCACAGCGTCTTGAAGACAAACGGTCTATGCAGTGTCGCGAAAGTTGAGCGATATTCGAGTCAGAGTAATACTTGGGGCAGTTCGGCGACGGGGAGAGGGGCACTCATGTAGCTCCCTAGGTGGGTCGACACGTCGATGGGAAGTAGCGAAAGTGCAATTCACCCCCCCCCCGCCCCCCTCGCTCCCCTCGGTCACCGAACTGCGCCCAGAATCCTAGTGGCTTTTTCTATGCGTTGTGACCTTTACAATGACTTACGGGACAAGCCGATGTACAAGTCAGCACTCTCACCGTCCTATACAAAACTGGTGCCATTTACTGTTTGCTTGCTGCAGGATAAAGTGCTAAGTTGCTTGGGAGTGGTTCGACCCTAGATTTAATCCCCAGACTGCGCGCGCTGTAAGCGTGCCGCTTGCCACTGCTCAACCTCCGCCTGACCCTACCTCATGGCTTTTTTCTGATTAAAGTTTTTTTTATGAGAGGTGAAACGTTTTAACCATACTCATAAGCGATGACTCTCAGGATGGCTCCGAATGGTTGCTCAAGTATAAAAAGGTGAAGCCATCGCAGTTGATCATTCTCGTTTTGCAATGGGGCAGACAATCTATTTCCACTCAGAATCGTAGTGGCTTACTGAATGCGATGGAGCTGTGAAACATTTTGCGAGGACCAGTCGATGTACAAATCAGTGCTCAATTTCCCCAATTTGCTGCCTGTGGAAGGGCTAGTGTGCGTGAGCAAGAGCCAATTTTAGATTTGACAGTCGTACGCGAGAGGAACACGCACTCCACTCGCCACTACACCCACCTTCACCGTAACTCTACCCTTTACCGGACTAGCAATACAATGTTCTACATATTTAAGGGAAGGAATTGCCACGATAACCAGTTTGGAGCCGTCCCAGGGAGCCCGTCTTCTTGGACAAGTACTTCAAAGTCATCCATTTGCACTTATTCACGTGTATATGTTAATGTGGTTGTTAACCGATCAGCCGTAGATCACGCATAATTGTGATTGGTGTTTCCTTTTTTTTCCGAAATTTTCGAGGCATTGCCAGCATATCTTGACCCCGCTGGAAAATTTGTAAATTGACCGCTCCAAACAACATACACTAACTAAACGACAAATCTTTTTTTTCATGTTCAATTTTATCACTCAAACAATGTACTTACTGCCTAGTTAGCTGCGGAGGGAGGGGAGTGTCAGACGAGATGGGTTTTACACGTTTTTACACGTGAGCTTTTTCTACATGTTTTCTCTTTTTGTCCTATTTCTTAGCTCCTTCCCCTCTGTAGTCCATGTCATGTCTTCAACCCTGTCGTACTGACGAGCCCGGAGGGTTGGTAACTTCGATGATTCGTCTACGACAACGGGCGAAACGGATCACCTGTGCTGTGGAGTGTGTGCATTTTCCCAATGTTTATTTTTCTTTGTTTCTAATTACACTAGCTATATACCCCTTCCCCCTCCCCGCTAGACGGAAAATCTCTGGGTGAAAAACTGGAAAATGTGGGAGATTGAAATTGGTAGGTAGGTGTTGGGGAAGGGGGGAGGGGGTCGTACCGAGACCCTCATGTAGGTGGGGGGGGGTCGTACTGACACCCTTTCTCGGAGGGAGGGGAGGTCGTACCTATGTACATACATCACCACCTCACACGTCACGATGCTGTACCCTGTTCGCACTACTTCGATAAACCTCGTCACCACGTGTATCGATGCGACGTAATGCTGAATCCTCTTTGAGACCTTGCTTGCTCGCATGGCTATCTAATGTTCTGCCAATCCTGTTCAGACTAACTCTGTAAAGAGTACGAAGACTACTGACAGCAACCAAA